AAAAGTTTCATGAAATCCTGAAGAACATTGTTCTACATTTGGGATTTTGACTTTCCTGGATGGAGAATACCTACTTTGATTAGAAAGCTTCCTGCCCGTCAAATCATATATCATTCCATTCATAGAAAAGGGGAAGTACCAGCCACACAGCAACCTATAGTATCCTAACAAGACTTGCTTTATTTTTAAGCATTGAATAATTTAATGAAACCCTAAAATAATTTTGATGAGCTTGCCATTAGTTTGACTAAGGCCAGTAGAAAAAGAGCCACCTAGGAAAATTAATTTGGCTAATTAATTCATGAAGAATGCCCCACCAAGATATAGTGTCCAAAAGAAACCTTTTTCAAATTTCCTGAATATTTGCAGCTAAAGTGAAATGGTGGCATAAAATCAAATGGGGTCCTGTGTGAACACATGAATAGTGTTTAGTATCTCCTTTATTTTTCTTTCTTCCTTTTTAAAAAAAATTTGGCCTATAAAAATTAGGATTCTTTTGAGCATCCCATCAACTCACCAAGCTAGCCTTGTACATAGAAAATGTGTTTGTGTTTAAAAAAAAAATACTCTTGATTGTTCTACATTGCTTTTCACTGTTCCACTCATTAATTGAAAAAGTAAATTGAGCCACTGGTATCTACTGGGAGCTCAATTTCTAGACAGTAGCAATTTGGGGCTTTCTCCCCAAACTGGTTATGTCTTCCCCACCATCTGAGTGCTTCCACTGCTTGCGTTTCTTCCTGTTTTAATTCCACTTTCAGTGAAGTATGTATTTGAAATAAATGGCTCATGAATAAGTTACATCTCTCAGTATGCTAAGATGTATTACAAAGGCTTCCAGATCACTTTTCTACAGTAATTCACTCATTTCTGTAATCTTTTCTTCCAAAGAATGCAATCTTTGTAATACAAACGTTAGCCTTCTGGGTTATTTTTGTTCAGGAGTCTTCGGTTTGGTTTGCCCCTTGGTTGATTTGTTTTTCCCATCACTGAACTGGTTCCCATAATCACACACCTTTGCTTTTCATTTTCACAGATCAAGGGATCAACATTTACCGAAAACCACCCATCTACAAACAGCATGGTAAAACTCGCTTTCCTCCGCATAGTTTAAGTAGCAGAGTCTGCTGTCTCCTCTTTGCTGTCTTCTGAAAGGCTTAATTGCTGCTGCTTTTGAGAATCCAACTGGGGCACCCAGTATACTATGATGGATTTTAGGTCCGATGAGATGTTTTCAATGCTGTGAAACTGACTTCCCTGGATGGAGAATACTTGGCTGGATCAGGAAGTGTCCCCCCTGTTTCTGAGCCCATTGGGCCATGTATTATTCCATTCATAGAGAAGGAAAAGTACTGGTCACAAGGGCCCACAAGCAGCCTAACAAGACTTTTTTTTTTTGCATCAAATAATATAAACAAACCTTAAAATAATTTTAATGAGCTTGCAAGCAGTTTGACTAATTAAAACTAATTTTTTAAAAAGACACTTAGAAAAATTAATTTGGCTAAGCCTACATGGACTTAGTTATTCCAGTCCCCTGCCTCTTCTGAGGTGTGCCAATGTCTTGCCATGCAATGGATGGGGCACAAGCTGACTGGTGGTAATCCTTGTGCCATCTCCTGTCTACATGGCTCTATGATATCATGCCACCCCCTCTGCTTCAGTTTTCTTATCTCTAAGGACCTCTGAGTTAAATCAGTTCGTCTCGGACATTCCTGCAAACTAAGAATTACTAAAGTGGATTTATAATTGCGTTTTCTTGTTCTGAAATGCAGCTTTTTTTTTTTTAATCCCAGAAGTCACATTACTTTCTGTAAATCACATTTTGTCCATTTTTGTTAGGTCTCTGTGGATTTATCTGCCAGAAATTTTTGTGAATAGAGAGAGAGAGCTGATAGGCAAAACTGGTCTTCCAATGATTTCAGAAAATTTTACAGAAGTTGTGCCTGGAAATTTGAAGGCTGACTTTAGAATCCAGTTGCCATTAACAAGTTATTAAGAATTAGGATGCTATGAAAGGCAAAGTTGAAAATACACTAGGAAAAAATATTAGGCCAAAATTTTGGGGGAAAAAAAAAGACCACGTATAATGGACCGGTTCTAGAGTTATGGGTTTTTTTCTCGTTATTTTTCGAGGTTTTGCATCATGTGCTTGCCTTTTAAGTTTGTTAACATTGTTTTTGTTTTTGTTTCTTTATGGTTTAATGTCTTCCCACACACTCATTAACATGTGAATGTTTAACTACTGACTTCACCAATTCTAATGAGTAAGTACTGTTTGAAGTCATGCTTTTTTGTTTTAATTTAAGAATAAGATTCCCAGAGTTTGAATTATCAGTTGAGACTTTTT